CACTGTTTAGTTCAGTGTTTGCACACTGTGTTTTACATGGGGAAATGGGAGGCATAAAAGAAACCTGGTCTGAGATAAAGCCGTTTTTGTCCAGCTTACACTGTTTGATCTGTGTTTTTATGGCTCTTCCTCAGGACACCGTTCGATGGACGTATAAAGGGGCGTCATGGTGAGTTCTTTAAACTAGCTTATTTTGTGTCTTCTCATGCTTGTGTTGCGTTGCAGTGAATTAAGCCTGTATGGGTTTGATTAAAAGGAGGTAAATATGCAACACAAGCGTATAAAAGTACATTAGATTGGTCTGATAAGCGACAAACATTCATAATGTCTGATCATTTAATCAGCTAAATCAGAGGTTATGCTTTGCATCACTTTAGTTAAGTAAGACTATAGTTGGTAGTACTGTTTTTATCAATTATATTGTAGCTTATTCTATTCTCGTTACGTAAAATACAGCGTAAAACCAAAATCTGATGTTATTCACGCTCTGACCTCTTGATGACAGCAAAGTTCATCAATATGAACATTAATAAATGTATCTGTATGACATTTGTCAATGGGGATAAAGATGAAAAGCAGTTCCAGGTGATTACACACTGGTCAAAAGGAGGTCCATAGCGAATAGCGTAGTTTAGCGTAACATCGTATGTTAGTATAAATCCATATTAGCTGGACCTGAAAGCTAACGGCTAATTTTGTGAGGGATTGAGACCAAAGTGGCCTGCCAAATGTAGTCTCAAAGGGTCTCATTAGTTTACTCAAATGCTATTTGATAAACCTTTAAACACCAATCAAATTTAAATTGAGTTTTGTTTGCAGTAAAGCAAGTAACAACGTACAGGAAATGCAGGTTGGAGCAATAAGCTTCCCATATGAAACGCATATCACAACTGGCCTAAAAAGTGTTGCCTGTCGGAAGAATAAAGCAAACAATGCCAGTGTTTGAGTGCAGCTTTGCTTTGCTTGCTATAAACATTTTAAATATTATAATATTAGTTTGCATTTGACACGGATAACTTGTGACTCACAGCCTCCATATCAGCTTCTATGTAAGTTTGCATCCACTTCATAAAGGCCATAAATTAGCATTTGCATAAATTGCGAGGACATTATTAAGACTGTATTTGACTTTCAAACTGCAGCTCGCTGCCGTTACCTTGGCTGCTCGCAGACTAGCTATTAGCTTCAGCCTTTTGGACCAACTCATTTGAATTTACACCTGATTAAGAGTGTTATTAACAGAACCTCAGCTGAAACCAACAATAACAAAATTGTTCTGCTAATACTTGAAGGTCATTGTTCTATTAAAATGGCCCTTTAGAAACTGATCAATCTGAGAGGCAGAAATGAGGAAAAAAATGTTTTGGTTGCTTTATGTACAAGTGTATTCAAGTGTGGAAGAAAGTGTGAGGAGAAAAAAATCATTTTGACATCTTGTTGGAAATGTTTAAGTTTTTGAAGACGTGACGGGTAAATCTCAAGAAGTTGCATTAGAGTTCATGTTTTCCATACTAAGGATTGTATTTTGATGAATTAAGCACATTCAATCTGGCAGTATTTATTTAAACTATTTTCTTAAACTTCCATAGCATAATTATCACACCATGCATTCTCACAATTGTGTCATTTCATCATTTTGTCTTTGTTTTTTTAGGACCCAGACTCTCTGGCACACTGCTTCACAGTTTTATACAAACATGACTGTTGAGGTAAGAATCATATGGCCCCCTCCCCACCCTGTTTCCTTACCATAAAGTCATAAATATGTGTACTCAGGGAGTTGGCTGCTCTAAGAGGTGCAGCAGATATGAAGCTGTATTTACCCAGCTTTTTTTTTTTTCTTTAAAATGTTTTACCTCTCAATTAAGGTGTTTTTATAACAAAAAAAAAAACTAAAACTGTGAGTAAATGATATGTTTTGTTGTTCTCCAGTACCTGCCTGTTTATAACCCGACTCACGAGGAGAAGAATGACGCCAGCCTGTACGCTGACAATGTTCAGAGACTCATGGCCAAGTAATGAGACGACCACGCCTGTCGCAATAAGCCACTAATCAACTAAACAACTAATCAATGACTCGCATGATAAATTAAAATGAGTTTGATCATTTCAAAATATCTTTTGAAGGGCAATTTTGTTTACAGAGTAATCTCAATCAGATATATTTATGATTTTGGATGTAAGTAGGTTTTATTCATTGGTTTTGGTTGTCGTATTTTATTTTTGATTTTATTTCACCGATATATAAAAATTTGGGCCAGTATTGATGTCCATATTTTGGCCAATGACCAATATTTACCTATATTTTTGACATGCTTAAACTGTTTTGACGCCTTTAGAGAAAAAAATCCCAACGAGAAACGAACGGCATCAAGTTAGAAATAAATATCGGTTATTCATATTGACTCAGTCGATACCAATATGTTAGAAAATGACGTTAGTGCCGATATATTGTGAATCTCTAATTTGGGGTATTTAAAATATCTTCCAGTTCCAGTGTTAAGAATTCTTCACAAAATTTGCAAACGTGAACTAGCATTATGATGCCGTTATCAATATATGACTTGAAACTGGTATCAAAGCCACAATATTATCGCTTATCGCAATTATTCCTGGGACAATTAATCGTCCAGCAAAATTGACAGGCCTAGACACAAGAAGGTCATGAGGCACTGTCGACCATATTAATAACACAGCAGTGATATTTAAGAACAGGAAAAACAGGTTTTATTACATCACTTGGCTTTGAGAAACACTTGCAGATTTCTGCCACCAGTTGTAGCAGCTGAGCCTTATTCAAGCTTTAAATTGTTTTTGATTAGCAGTAAAGATACGCCTTAGTTTCGGACTAAACCTGGTCCGCTTTCTAACGGTTCTTCGCTGCTCTACAGGGCCTTAGGAGTCCCAGCCACAGACCATGTGATGGAGGGCACGGTCCCTGTGAGCAAACTGGGTGGCCTGTCTCTACCGCTGGAACCTCCTGGCAGGGAAACATTGTCTCTTCTGCATAAAAATGGGTAAGAACTCTTCTCGTGGTTTTTAAATCTCTGAACCAAAGCTGCTTGATGTTATTTAATCTAACCATTGTCTTCCTTTTCGCATCTTTCTGTCTCTCAGACTGGAAGCTTGTGAAATCAAAGCGGCTCTGGACAAAATGATTGACAGATGTCGGTCTGGAGCTCAGGGGTCAAAGGCCAGTGCAGACGAACTCTCTTCTATTCTCTCCCTGAAGGATCACCAAACGGCTGTCTCCATCTGTGGCTTATACTCAAAGGTGAAGTCAGTTGTTTGGGTCTGAATGAAGCAAAAACATGTTTTGTTTTATTCCAAGAAAACATCTTTTGTTTGAGTTTTGGGTGAAACTCAATGAAATGTATCTCTTTTCTGTACAAATTTGGCTTAATCACTGCTCTGAATGTTGGTGTTGTTTTGGGTTTTTTATTTAAGAAATGGCCTTTTTGTGTGTGTTTGTGTGTGTCTGCAACAATTAATTGGTCATTAAATTAATTGACGATTATTCCAATAATCGATTCATCATGATTAATCCGATTAATCGTTTCAGCCCTAACCAAACGTTTTAAAAGATTTTGAAACTTGTCTCAATGAAGCTTTTCAGCCTTTCCTTTAAACAATCATTGAAACAATCACGGCCCTTGAAGGTGTGGCAAAGTAAGAAATTTGCTCTGTTTTCAGAGTATATTAGTCAGTAATCTGTGAATGCTTTTCATTTCAGTAAATAAAAAAAAAGCAAATCTGAAGAATAACGTTTCAGATGAAACATTTGTTGACGCGTGTGGGCTCTGTCTTTGTGTTTGCCGTCAGGATGAAACGGTGGACCTCAGACAGCTTTACTTCAGCATCTCAGCTCTTGGTAACATCACAAACTTCAAGGCCCTGCTTCACTGTGCTTTTACAGTAAGTCTCTTGCTTGTTCAGCAGAAGTTATGGGTCTTAAATTTGAGCGCGACACATTCTTAGAAATGTACATTTTAATCAGGATGTCCCGGATTCTTAAATTCATATATCTGAAATGTAGGCCTTAAAATGTCTCAGTTGCCACTATTCTTGTTGTTTGAGTCTTGATTGGACTTAAAGATTACTAAAGGTGTCATTAAAAAAGCCTTACTTTTTACCTGTTTAATGCTCTCCTTTGTTCTCCTACCTTCCAGCTGTTTGACCAGGAATCAAAAGGCAGCTTACATGCAGAGGAGCTCTCAGACCTCATGGGGCGCTGCTTGGCATTCCACAGCACAACACTGATGCTCTGTATACCGAGGCCTCCAGTCAGGGGAAGCTTACTGAAGGTGCGCATTCACACTGTTGTTATTTTTTATTTTTTTGTTGATCAAACACAACCTTTTACTAAAACCAAAGTGTCTAAATGTTTAACAGAAAGCCTGCTGCGAGTGCTGACGACCGACCCGACCTTTTCAAAAGTGGTGAACGAGTACCTGCAGGGCGAGGAGGCTGGGCCCCCGCCGCCGCCCGCCGCTGCAGCGGCCAATGGGAAAGCTGTGAACAACAACGGGTTTCTACAACACAACAAGAAGTTTGAATGAGTGTTTAGTTACTGCTGGTTCTCATCTCGTGGTCCGCCCCCCCCCCACTCCCCGATCACGTCGGAACCAATCAAACCCAAAGACTTCTATTTTTATACGTTTTATGATATTTTTAAGTCGAGCATCAATTGCACAAACGTGGAAACGCCCAAAGAGAAGGGGGAGCGTTCCTCCACAGCGGCACTGAGGGACCGTATGTTTACTTGTGTTTTGTTTTTTTTTATCTTTCAATAAATTCTTGTGTGTCACCGGAGGTTAATTTTACCGCTGACAGCGGTAAAATTATTTGTATAAAAAAAGGTGATTTCTCTGTGAGGGACAGTGGTGTGTGTGCCAAAATAACTCAACACTGTAAATTTATTGTAAGTGATTCTTAAAGCTTGTTTTCTTTTTGTAAGCGTTAGTTTATTTCAGGAATAAACTGATGTGTTTTAAACATGCTTGTTTTGGGGGGTGGCGGGGGGGTATTTGTCACTCTATATGTAGCCAGGTTGCTCTTAAAGTCCCTCTTTCCCTTTTTATTCTGATTTTGGGCCCTCTCTGCTCAGAGTCCCGACACTTTTTCACCGGACTGGAACATAGTGTTTCCGGAGTTTCTGTGGCGCCCCCTTTCTCTTTTTCGGGGTACTGCTTCTCTCCTGGCATCTCTTCGCTGCACTCGTGAGCTCTGCTTCTTCTTGTTGTTCTTCTTCTTCTTCTGATTCTTCTTCTTCCTCCTCATCCTCATATGCTTCTTCTTTGATCGCTTCGGGCTCGATTTTTAACCCATTTCCTCTCCTTTGTGAAACTTCCTGCTTTTTTGGTTTGCCCCCCAGGAACGCACCGCATTGTCGCTTCTGCACTTCACTCAATGCTGGATACAGAAAACCATCTGGCTCCGGACTTCCATCAGTCATTTTCACAGAAGGAAACCTCTTCGTCCTTTTGGGGGGACACTTTGGCTTACATTTGGCCTTTTGGCTGCATTTGCCAGCCTTTGTGTTGCTTTTGGACATAGTGGACAGATTGGGTGTAAAGTAGGCCTCGTAAACCTCCGCCTTTGTTCTTCTTGATCCTTCAGCAGGTTGAGTTGTTTTGCGCTTTGTCTCTCTTGCTCTCGCCTTTCATCAGGCTCCGAGGTTGCAGAGGTTTGCCCAACCCTTCGTACTCGTTCACCGCACTGCCTTCTTTGACGAGGAGCTTTTGGTTGTCTTTGGCTTCGATCTGTCGTTTCTTTTGCTTTGAGGTTTTTGTCTCGCAGCCTTCGAAGTCTTCCCCCTCTCCTCGTCTCTTGGTTCTTCTTTGCTCGATAACCATTCGCTCCTGATTTCCATCCTTCTGACAAAATCCAGAGGTTTTCCTTGTGGCACTCTAGACTCCTGCCACTTGTCCGTGAACTTTCTGTGTTCCAGATATTTATCGGCCGTTTCTCTCTCTCCGGCTCTGAAAGGGTAACCGTCTCCGTCTAGTTCGTTGGTGCGGTCCCTCGCCCTGTGACTCAGTCTGATGTCCGATTTGCAGAAATTTGATTTGCTGTCATTGAAAATGCCTCTTTTTCTTGCCGTTTCTCGACTGTGCGTCTCCGTTCTTAGGAAGCGTTCCTTCGAATCTCTTTCGCCACGTCTCCTCCTGTGGCCGTCGTTCACTTCTCTCGAACTGTGACAGGTCAGATCTTCAAAATGTCTCTCCAGAGGAAAGGACATGTTCGGGTACCTTAGTCGTTCTTCTGCGGGTGGCCGCTGGAACGCAGAGTAGCTGCGCAGGTTCTTCTTGGGTCCCTCCTCAGCTGGCAAATCGGGCCTGTTTTGGTATGATTTCCTCTCGTGTTCTGTGATTGGAGCGTCTGACAGCAGGTACTGGATTATTCTTTCAATTTCAGTTTGCGGTGGAGTCGTCTTCTCTGCATTTTTCTCATTTAAAGGTTCGTCTAAGCTCTCCTCCATAAGCGACTGTTGGTCAGACAGGAACAAAAGACAGAGACGTGTCAATTACAGCAGTATAAAGTAATAATTTAATCAAAGTCCAACTAATCTGTCCTTTGAAGGTATGCATGGTGTGCCCAGCCTTTTTATAGTACATGCACATTAGGATCAGTAGTGTGAAGACCGAAATGTCCTTTCACTGCATTTAAAAAAAAACAAAAAAAAAAACAAACAAACAATTGCCTTGGGTTGAAAACTCAATATTCCGATCTTTCAGTGACTTCAAGCGGTCAAATAGTTACTAGCTATTTTGTTACTTTATTAGATAATAGTCCAACTGCCTTTGCCAGCTAATTAAAAGGTTTTTTCTGAAATTTTTCTGCACATTAATGTGATATTATCTGAGTCGATAGGCTCTTGCTGTAGACTTTTTCAAAATGTCCTCAAAAATATAAAAGCTATAGCAACTTGGCTCAACATCAGAAAACGTGTGGTCCGATATTACATAGTGTGGAAGGTGATGTGCACCATAGACATGAGGTTTGTTAAGCTATTTGGGTTAAATCCAAGTCATAACTTAATTTCCTGACAAAGCTAAGGCTATTGCTGATGCTGACGCTTAAAATAACTCATATCTCTGAAAAAAGATGTGAAAGCAAATCAAAAATAAATTTTAAAAAAACTAATGCTTTCCAGTACTGAGCATTTGGGCGAGTTATTGAATTGGGAATTATTCGTTTCAGTCTTTAAACACAAACAAATGTTGCATTTTTTTATGGACATAAGCCAGTCTTTGGGCAGCCGCTTTCTGTATCTCAACGTCTGTCGTTAAATCAGACGAACCTTTCCAGTGTTAGGTCAATAAGGATTACTAAAATTATTTACATTTGTTGAACGCCATAATAACTGGAGAATTACTTTGAACCTTCTTCAAAATGTCCCTGGAGCTCAAATGTAGAATTGCATTCTGACGTCTTTGACTCGGGTCAGACGTTTTTAGTACTCGGAATAAACGGCAGGAACTTTGACCCGTTCTTCCAGACAAGAACAGATGAAACTGAGTCAAATTTAAAGGTTGATTTGCTTAGAAACTCATTTTCAGCTCTGCCCACAAGTTTCATCGTACTAATGTCAGGGCTTTGTGAAAGTGACTCCTAAATGCCGGGTTTATGGTCCTTGAGCCACTTTGTAGCAAATATGAAGTTAGAAGACCGTGGTGTTTGAGCACAGACAGAGGAAAAAGTTACTTTTAAACTTTCCTGACTACTTATTCTTTTTTGTAGCAATAAATAAACAGCTTAATGTGTGCCTATCATCTTTTACCTGCAGGTCTTCCAGAGTGAAGTCAAAGGTGTTCAGGTCTGAAGTGCAGAGGCAGTTCATGTCATCCATGTCCAACTGATGGCAAAAAAAAAAAAGGCTGACATGTCAGTTTTTATAGAAAAAGTAAAATGTCTTTGTTGTAAATGTAATTACCAACCTTAAATATCCAGTTACTTGAACTTCTGTTAAATGTCTTCAGTTATTTTGATAACTTTTAGTCAGTCATTTGTTTTGGCAAATATCTCTTGTTTTTGGGTTGTTTTTTTTTGTCAAAATTAATTTCAGATTATTGAACAAATTTGTATATTAGGAAAAGATGAGCACACAAAATCTAAACAGATGATTTCTTTCATGAAGCTGAAAAAGTTCTCCAACTTTTTTCACATTCCCTATGTGGAGAAAGTAGCTCTCCTTTTCTTAAACTGTGATTAACAACTTAAAAAAAGTAAAGTAAAGAAAGTGCCATAATAGAACCTGCTTGCCCAGACAAATTAGGCTCAAAGTTCCCCAAAACACATCATGCTCCCTGGTTTAAAGAAATTAAAGTTACCAGAACCTATGAACATGGAGCACCTTCAGTTTTAATCTTCTTAAGAGGCTATCATGACTGCAGCCTCTGTAAGGACTGACCATGCACAAAAACTGCTATGGGGCTGAATTGGCCACAAAACACTTTAAATAAGCAAACAAACAACAAAGAAAAAACTTATTGAATCAGTACTCTGGTCACTTTGATTAAAAAAGAAAATTCAATGAAAGCATCAATGAAACTTTTGACACCAAAAGTTCTGCTTACATTTCTGATCGAGTTGGTGTCATTGCCCAGATCATCCTGATGATCCATGAAGGAGCCGATTTCTGTCGCCAGAGTCTCATTTTCTTCTCTCTGCATGGAAATATCGGCTTAGTTTTAAAACGCCAACGAATATAGCCATTTCAACCTGGGGATTTATATATGTGTTTTTTGTAGCATTTCTGAGTCGAGTGTTCTTCTCTGTGCGATTTGCTTTGAAACCCAGGAACCTTGAGGCGGACGGCGTTGGGGACGTCCCTGCTGTCCTCCCAGGTCCATTCCATTTGCAGGGTCCTGAAAAGCGGCCAGAGGTCTCGGGGAAACTCGGCGGCCTCGTTCATTGGTCTTGTCGGGCGGGAAAGCTTGGTGTTCGTCTGTGAGGAAGAGTGAACAGCGAGAACAGAGGGGTGGTTCTGGCGTGAATGGTCTTCCGGCTCGGGTTCTGCTCTGCATCCCCCAGAACCAGAACCGAACTCGAAGAAGCAGCATTCTGTTTTTACGCTCCTTTGATCTGGAACAATCTTCTGGAAAACTACTAAAACTGAAACACTGAGCTCCTTGGTCAACATATCAGATGTGTATTAATGATTTGGATGATAGCACTTGACAAAATGTAATGTTTGTTGCTTGTTTCATAAGGGGTTGATGTTTTTATGGTTTAAAGCACTTTGTTGAGCGGCACAAATGAACCCACTCGACTTTCTACCTGGCCTCTTTCAGAACAACTCCTAATCACTTACCTTTTTCCTTCCTCCTGTCCTCCAACGTCTGAGTACCGTTCAGCACCATGTTGTCGTAATAAAATAACAATCTTTCTTTAAATCTAGCATTTGTTTATCAGATGCTTTTTTTGGAAGCCACATTTTAATCCCAATGATGAGAAAAGCTTCAGTAAATCAGTTTTTATATGACTGAAACTCCATTTGATGATGCCTTAAAATGAAACGTTGCTGTTTATGTAATAAATTTTAATTGAGACATTTTGAGTTTTCAATCATCTTCAATATCTTCAATTTCATGTTTAAACCCTTTTTGCTGCATCTTTCCATTTCTAATACTAAAGGTTTGATCAACTGGATTTTGAAGTAACTTAGAGTTCATGTGCTCGTCTTTGTGTTACTTGATTTTAATCCAGATGTACTTTAGCTAAGATAAATTAGTGTTTTACTGCAAAGTTAATTTGGAAAAATATTCTGTGTGGTAAAACTAAGACTAAATATTTGAGATTTTGTCATCTGAAGCAACAGAAAACATTCAGTTAGCTGTTTATTTTATTTTATTTCATTTTATTGTGTTTTATTTTATTTTATTATTATATTTTATATTATTTTATTTTATTTCCTGTCTTTACCTGCATATCACACATGCAAACAATCCAAAGAATATTTCTGACTGTTTTCCTGTTGAAAACTGTTTGTTTTTGTTGAATAGTTTCCAAGCCGACTGTGATCCGAAAACCCAGTGGGTCTGTTGTATATAAAGGAGAGAAAGTCACTCTGAGATGTGAGATCAAGGAAGGAGGAGGAACTCAGTGGACATATGAATGGAGAACAAACAATAGAAACATTCAAATAAGATCCAGTGAATACAGCATCAATAAAGTCTATGAATATCACAGTGGAGTTTACAGCTGCATGGCTACAGGAGTTCATCAACAAACAGAATGGAGCGATGGCGTCACACTGACATGAGTGAGTCTGATTTTAGAACTTTATATTGTTTGGATTTAATATAAAACCAGGTTTTCTGTTATTTCTGACTACAAGCAAAATAAAAGCAAGAGACTTTCTGTTAGATAAATAAAAACAGCTACATGTCACTAAAGTAAATTTGAAATTAACACATTCAACTTTTTAAGATGATTAAGTTTAGTAAACATGTCATGAATTAATTAATAGTTTGATTATTGAGTCACTTTTATTTTTCTTTAATCCAACAGCATATAAACCCAGAGCCACACTGACAGCAGACAGAATCATACCACTAGAGGGCAGCAAAACTGACCTGCTCTGTGGACGGATCTGATGACTGGAAGTTTGACTGGTTCAGAAATGATGATCAATATTCTGCAGCGACAGGAAACAGAGATCCAAACAGAGTTATCTCTGTCTCAGCGGGAGGAGAGTACAGCTGCAGAGGAAGAAGAAAATATTCAAGTTTTCAAACTGAAATAAGTGATAAAATCTCTGTTGTGAAAATTGGTAAGTTTATTTCTTAATTTTGTAATGAAATAAAAATCTCTCTTTAATCTAGAATTTGTTTATCAGTTGTGTTTTAGTCGCCATAATGTTGGAACCATAGTAAAACAGTAATTGCAAGACTGCACCTCTATTTGATGATGCCTTAAAATGAAATATTGATTCTGTTAATGTGAAGATTAATCATTTTTAATTGATACATTTGGAGTTTACATTCATCTTCGATTTGATGCTTCGCTAAAACCTTTTCGCTGCATCTCTCCAAATGTTGATTTGTTGCATTTTGAAGCTGTTTAGGGTTCAAATGTTCCTCTTACTGTTATTTGACTCTTACATAGTAATGTAACACCTTAAGTTTATTAGAGTTATTTTTTCTTTACAATGCAGGGAAGGATATACTCATTTGTAATGTTTCACATGTTTTCTGTAGTCTTGTTCTCTTAAGTAAAGGTTTTGAAATAAATATTCAGTCAGCTGTCAAAAATGACAAGTGCTGTCTTTGAGTTAGAAAACACAATTAACATGTTTGTTAAAATAAATTTAAAAAAATCATGGAGATTATGAGCTCAGAAATTAAAATAGTTTCTATAAAATTGTACTTTTGATTTATTAAATATTCAGCCAGAAAATATTTGCTTAAACATTGTTGATGTGGGTATCAGACAGGTGAACATTAGAGATAATATCAGGATATTTCTGTCTGTTTTCCGGATGAAAACTGTTTTGTTTTTGTTGAATAGTTCCCAAGCCGACTGTGATCCTTCAACCCAGTGGGTCTGTTGTATATAGAGAGAGAAAGTCACTCTGAGATGTGAGATCAAGGAAGGAGAAGAACTCAGTGGACAAATGAATGGAGAAAAAACAAGAAACATTCAAAAGATCCAGTGAATACAGCATCAATGACGTCTCTGAATATCACAGTGGGAGTTTACAGCTGTATGGCTACAGGAGATCATCAACAAACAGAATGGAGTGATGGCGTCACACTGACAGTGAAACGTGAGTCTGATTTAGAAACTTTATATTGTTTGGATTTAATATAAAAACCAGGTTTTCTGTTATTTCTGACTACAAACAAATAAAAGCAAGAGACTTTCTGTTAGATAAATAAAAACAGTTTCATTTCACTGAAGTAAACACTACAGAGTCACTCTGCAGTTCAATGTTAAGCCTTTAATGTGGTACTAAGCTATACTCAACATTTTAAGACAGTTTAGTGTTAAAATAAAGTAATTTTTTCCTGAAGTAAGTCATCTTATATGATTTAGTGATGTGGCCTTTGTGTTGAGGCATTAAAGAGCGTGTATTGAGTAATCAATGAGGGTTATTGTATCCAGGCTTGTGGTGTAGAACAGGCGATGACGTTTGAAGCCTCCCAATCGGACCGAATCACATGACTGATTCAGAAACCGGACCTTGTGAATCCAAATGCATTGCTGTTTCTCCTGTCATATTTTCTTCTTTCAAGACTGTATTGTATATGTTTGCAATGTTTAGTGAGTTTCTTTTATGCGACGGACGTATTTTCCCCTTGTCTGGCAATAATGTGGTTTTTCCTAATAAGTATTGCACATGTTGATAATAAATTATCACCAACAACCAAAACAGAGAAACCACCAAGCAAAGATTGGTCACTAATATGATTTTCTTTTCTTTCTTGTTTATTTAAAACCCACAGCAGATAACCCAGAGCCACACTGACAGCACACAGAACAATCATACCAGCAGGGGGCAGCATAACACTGACCTGCTCTGTGGACGAATCTGATGACTGGAAGTTTGATTGGTTCAGAAATGATCAACAATATTTTGCACCCCGGTTCAGAGGAAACAAAGATCCATTCAGAGTTATCTCTGTCTCAGAGAGAGGTCTCTACAGCTGCAGAGGAGGAAGAGGAAATCCAGTTTTTCATACAGAAACAAGCAACATTCAGAAAATTGGTGAGTTCAGTTCTATTCTGAAATAAAACAAAGAAATCTGCTTTAAAATATGTATATGTTTGATGGTCAAATTTTATTACTGTTTGTTGAGCTCAGTTTGTGGTTCACCTTAAAACATAACATGTCTTTTTTTCTTTGTTAGTAAATATAAAATATTTTATTTTCATATCATTTAATGAGGCTGATAATCATAAGCTATAAGAATTCAGCATTTTCAGTTTTTTGCTCAATATAATTTTCTGTCTTCTGATTGAATATTATACATTTTAGTGTCTGCGCCGACTGTGAAGCGGCATCCCAGCTGGCCTGTCGTATTCAGAGGAGAGACGGTCACTCTGAGATGTGAGATGGAGGACGATGAAGGAACTCAGTGGACGTATCAATGGAGTCCAGCCAATAGAAACTCTCCAACATCCAATGAATACAGGATCAACAGCGTCTCTGAGTCTGACAGTGGGAGTTACTATTGTATGGCTAGTAAAGGAGATCAGAACTCAGGCTGGAGTCGTTCCTTTCAACTGACAGTGAAATGTAAGTCTGACAGAAACATCCTCATTCTCACAATCCTAGAACACCAGACAACATTTTTGGATGCAAAACTCCTCACATCTGCATTAGTTCTCATGTTAAATGGTAAATCAGAAATAATTTGGTATTTTATAACAGGTTCAGGCTACTTTATGTGAGCCTGGCCTTTGCTTTCTTATGCAGCAACACTCAGTTCTAATCTCTCTTCAGTGCTCTGTCTGGGCTTTCTCCATTGACTTGGATTTTCTCCAGTAGAATTTCTATTGGGCCAATCAGAGAACAGAAGGAGAAGTTCTGATTGTTGCTTTTCTGTGTTGTTTTAGATTTGTACTCTGTCTGTAGTTTTAGAAATGGAAGTGAAGTTCAGTTGATTCTAGTCACTCTTCCAAATACTGGTTTTTGAAAGATTAGTTTAAAATATTTCTTTTTAATCAGGTAAATTGATTAGGACTGAATTCTAATTTTTAACAATAACCTGGCCAGGAAGCATGAAACATCAAACAGCATAAGTGACTCAGAAGTTAAAATTGATCTGAACAGATTGTTTCCTCAAACAAGACACTTTCTAAAGTTTGTCTTGTTTTCTGTTTCAACCAGCAAATCGACCCAAAGCCTCACTA